TGTGTGTGTGTGTGTGTGTGTATATACACACACACACACACACACATATACATGCACATGTAAAATTCAAAGTAATTTAAAAGCTTATATATAATTATTAATATAGCATTAAAAACTAACAAGTAGGATATTAGTCTTACTGAATATGAATTTAATTACTTAAAAACAGCCACTTTTAATATGTAGTAAATTAGTTTTTTCTATGAATAAAGTGCAGCTTGGACCTAATTATTATACAAAATCATGCACAAGTGAGTTTTCACCAAAGCAATGTCAAAAATACAATTTTCTCTATAGTGTGATATACATTTTAATCAGTTATTATCTTGTTACAATTAAATTCATTAAAAAACTTCAATACTTTTCAATTTTATAACTTTTGTTAATATATTTTACATAGGGAATACACTTTTTACTTCTGTACAACTATCCAAAAACACAATAAAATTGTTTTTACTCAACAGAAATGTTATTTTGTACAGAAAAAATAAAAACAGAATTAACTTTCACTAGATTACTGAATAACTTAAATGGATATTCCTGCTATTTGAAGCACTTGTTTCTCCTGAGGGGTATGATGTTGTGAAAAAGTGGAATAATAAGGCTGTTGAGCTAACAATTTGAGAAACTGTGTCAAATACTCCTGTAAGTTTATATGGTAAAGAGGGTCAGCCAAAGCATCTGGGTCTTCTTCATCTTCATCTTCAATGTCATATCCTATGATAAGCATATTATACACATTATATACAAGTCATTTGTTGAACATAAATGTTAATGTTATTGCCACCACATTCAGACAGTATACTTAGTGTTTTCATAAAGTTTAAGAAAGGAAATATGCACTAAATAAATAAATAAATAATCAAAAATGGTAAAAATATCTTAACGTGTCAAGTGCTTCTCTCATAAGTATTAAAGAAATGCTGCATATCAAACATATAGATTGTATAACTGATTTGCCAAAGATTAAATACTAAGTTATTAAAACTTAAAAGTTTAGAGCAGCCCACACAGTATCTAGATGAACATTCATATTTTTAATAATAACAAAGCCTAAAGTTTCCCATTCTACTCTTTCAACTCTGATTCTGAAGATGATACTGTATTGAAGGTTTGGATATCTACTCTCTATTTCTGTTGAAAATTTTGTCTGTTTGTTTTAGAATTTTCACACAAAGATAAATGAGGACTATCTAACATTGAGATGATATACTATAGGGAAGGTAGCTAGTAAACAGCACCCATCAACAACTCTTTTGTGAATGAATAGTGGGATTTTACCACCACTTTTTAACACAATACACCCACAGCCATTTAGTGGACTTTTTAAATATATAAAATGTATATATACACATGTAAATAAGACACGGTTCAAAGTGAGCATCTTTTGGTTTATTTATTACTGAATTATGAAAAAGCAGTACTAGTTTAATATTATTCATCACACTTAGGAACTTTCAACAGAAAATCATTATTTTTACACGTGGGGAGAATCTGTAATTATCAGTTAAATAATGAAGTATTTTGCCAATTTTAAAAACATTTACCAGCAGAATGACCGACCTTTAGAAATTTATACAAAAATACTGCAATATTCATAATCTGTTTCATATAGCACCAAGAGTGAATATTACAAGAAATTATACAAATAATCTAATTGAAACTTGTAATAATAAATGATAAACTCTTCCATACTAATCAAAACCATTATGTCTGGAAAATTATAACTTTTTACACTGTTTTAAAAGAGAATACCTCTCTCTCTTTATACATATATACATCAATTAGTTAGTTATCATAGCACACGCTAAAGAAATGTGTGCATTAAACAAAGCTAATGCAAAGTGGCCATAGGAACTGGGTAATCTTAAAGTATAAATGTTTCATTTTTTGTTATTCTTTAAACCTTTGTCTGTCTGATACCACTCTCCGAAGTCTATAAGCGCAATACGGATATTCTCCCCTTCAATTATAGTTTGTTTGTTTTATGTTATTACATTTTGCCAGTTTGATTAATCAATATAATTTTTTAAACTATTTTTATTTAATTTAGAATTACTATTTTCTGTTTAAAGAATACTTAGGATACATTTATTTGTATACGCTTGTGGTATTTTCTATTTGATACTCTGAAAACTATAAGCTATATTAAACTATCAATATTTTATTCTACACTTATATAAAATTAAAATACCTGCATAATCTGATGCTGGAGCAAACTGAGATAATACATTAGACAATGCTGAACTGGCGTTTTCCTGATCTGCTTCTATGTCTTCAAAGTCATCATCCTGTTAACAGTTCAAGAACAACATATAAAACTGGTGTGTCTATAAACAGACCTATATTATACAGCACATCATGATAGAAATTAATAAAAACCCTATAACCTGAGGGTTATAGGGTTTTTATTCATTTCTATCAAGACTTCTTGAACCTACGTGTTTTTTAACATCATGAATACAGCATATCATAATGTTGAATATTACACAGTAAGAATAAAATGAATATCTTGCTTATTTACATAAACATATATAATAACAAATTGTAAATTTCAAATCCGATGATAAATAATTAAAAAAAAGTAATAATAGAAACATCTAAGTTAAGCTGACATTTCAACAACTAAAACTTTTGCAAATTCTGAAAAAAAAACATGCATTAATTCATTTTCTCTCTTACTACAACAGAGTACAGTGCAGGTTAGTGTATATTAGACATTTTCCTCTAGAAGGAGAGACAGTGAAAGAAAAAAAAAGCTATTTTTTTATTTATTGCCCAGCTCTAACTGAAAAGTTGACTTACAAGATGTAAATACATTAAACAAACACAAATACATGCATACACACATCTAATATACTAATCCCCTACAAAAGCATTTGTTTTAGCATGATTGTTTTTATTGTAGCTGATCTATTTATTATAAAACCTGTCTAGCAGATCATTTACTGTACAAGGTACTACACATATATATATATATATATATATATTAATACAACTCAACAACTACAGTTCTTGCTTTGTAGCACAATAAAATTTTTGCTACAAGCTTTTCCAATAAAATAAAAATCAAATAATATGAAATAATACTGCCAAATCTCAGCAGTGTTTAATGAAAATGAAACAGGAATAATTTGACAGTTTTATTTAATATACCATGCATATTAATAAATTTATTACATAACAAATGGTTTTTTCTTTTTGTTACAATTATACATGCTCCAGCTGATACAATGTTTTAAAATACATACTTGAAAGAAGAAAAAGCTAATATTCAAAACTTAAAAGTTACATTAAATTCTGTTCAAAACTCCCTTAACTTTTTAAGGCTGTCAATAACAAAGTACGTGCATGTCTGATAACTGTTTGTTTTGTGATTGCTGGCAATCAATAGAATTATTTTCTATTTCCACATTCAAAACCAGCTGACCAGAGTTTTTGCAATAATGAAACTAGTCACAACTGTGAGGACTTCAAGAAATATGTAATCTGGGAGATAAGTTAATTGTGAAGCCAGTTGGGCTGAAGAAGTGCTACAGTTGTGTCACGTTTGCAAACTTTTGTAATCAAATATATTTATACTTATCAAGTTATGTAAACAAAAACAAATAATTTCTTTTTAAACAATTTTTCACATACAAACAGTAATATTAAATGTTAATTCCATTTATTCAAAATGCCAAATGATTCACAATATCTGTTATAGTTCTATCACTTCATCTATATTTTTGAAGTACAGTTCTTTATACTTAACTACATTCCATTCATTTTTGTTGTTCTTTATAACGGCCTTCAAATGTTTTGAGTTAATAAAGCTTCAAATTTAAAGTTGTAGATCTTAGATTTGTTTTATCTACAGCGCATTTTGTCTCCGCTGAGAACCATGAATAAAAATAGCATTCATAGAGCATATTAATTAAAAGCATTATTTTATATTATGGAAAAATCACAGAAATACTATAGAACTATACAGATGTGACATGGAAATTACTACATAAGAGCCTATAATTGAATAACAAAAAACTATAATTATTATGTATATTCAGGCTGACATTTAACACAGGTAAAAACTACTTTTAAAACTCTCCACATATTATTAAATATTTAGGCCACACATACATCAAAAAATACACTACAAGAAAATTTTGTAATCATTATTGTTAAGTCATTTAAAATATGTAAACTAACTACAAGCAGAACTTTAATTTTCTCTTTCTTGAGAGTTCCCTGGCTACAGATTTCATGTTGATGAACTTCAAAATACAAACCTTACAAACATTTTAAAGTAATGTAAAATGAATTTTGCTTTACTGATAAGCCCAAATATAACACTAATAAATATTACACCTGTGGTATGTTTGTTATCAATGATTACAATTGAGTTTCAGCTAGTAATAAACACATATTCAGTGTATTTTTGTACATACAATTAAGTACTAACCAAGATTACCAATAATCACAGACAAAAATCACTGATTTTCACAAGGCTTTCCTTTTCAAATTATAAAAACACACAGCCATATACTTCCACTGTTTATGTGTAAACATTCAAAAGTTAAGTACTGATGTTACAAACAGATTTGATATACAGACCCTTTTAACTGTAATTTATTACAAAATAAGTGTTGGTTTTCAAGGCCTCTTTCTGAAAAGTTATGAAATGTAAAATTTTCTTTTCTTGAATATGATGCATGTTTTCATTATAAATTCTATAGCTTAATAATCACATGTACAGAAAAATACAAAAGATGTTGCAATAATCATGACAGAATATAACACTCAAAAAGGTTTAAACATCAGTGGTATTTTATTCAAAAATGTTAAAAGAATATTTTTTCAGAATGAAGTTTAAGTCTTCAGATAGCAAAAGTCCTCTTTTTTTTTCTACAACCTTAATTAAACCAAGCCACAGTATGCTCAACATCTACAAATATCTTTAACATATATATGCTCAATATATGTACAAACGTCTTTAAACATCAAAATACCTCTAAAATTATGCAATCTATACATTTAAAAAACAATTATTAGAGCTGGTTTAATCTATATGGAATGCACCAGATAAATAATTTCACTGTGAGAACATTAAATTGAATATTAAAATACACTTACTACTCAGCTTTTTTTTAAGCTTAAGAAAACAGTTTCTCAAAATTTCAATTAAAATCCTTTTACAACATCAAGTATTATTGAAATTTAACACCCCTAAACTTCACTCTCCTAAATTAAATGGAAATATATCTATTAAAAATGGATATATATATATATATATATATATATATATATATATA